TGCTTGCAATGTGATTTCTATTGCCTTTAAAAAGGCATTTGCGGCTCCCAGGCCTAGCTTTCTTGATTTCTCCCAAGGCAAGAGGGATCGTGCAGTCAGCCAACAGGTCCGACTTTGTGTCCTGTATAGATTTTTAGGGAACAAAGTTCCAAAATATACTAACATACATAGCTTTATTTTTTACTTGGGACTAGCCCATATGATCATTACATAAAGATTACGGTGGCACACTCAAATAAATACATAAAACCAAATCATGTGAAGAAACATACAGGCGCTCATAGTAACACATAAACATAATAATAAAGGGGTTGGAAAGATAATAACTAACATGAAATACCTCTCCTGAAAATCTACCCGAATATGCAAATTAGCAAGCCTTGCTATTCAGGTAGTGCATATTGCTGTTGCTACCAACAGGTGGTGATGTACAGGCTCCACAGCCAAATCCACCTGCTTGGTAGCAAGCATCAGCAGGACAGTAGAGCACACAAAACATATAACAATAGGGGCGGTGCTTAACGATTGAAGAGAACAGTCGCCTGCTCTCTGAGCTCCGGGCCGCGACACGGGGAAGAACCCACTTCTAACCCCCTTACAAGTGCCACACTCACCCCAGGGTGAGCCCAGCGCACAGCCGAGCCCAATGGGGCGAAAAACCAAAAAACTCAAACCCGAAAGACCCACGAGGGGCATGGATATCGGCGAGTTATGGCGGCAAGCCCAAGGCGCCAGAGGCTCCAATATGGCGTCCCTACACGGCGGGTGCTCTGATTTCTATGAAGAGACGTCGGATGAGGGTGAAGGGGAGCTTCAGCCATCACCAGCTCGAATGCAACCCCCAACGCAACCCCTGCCGACGGCTATGGCCCCCACGCCGGTGAGCATGGAAGCCATTAGAGATCTTATGGCGGAACATCACAAAAAGATTGCGGCGGATGTCGCCTCGATTAGAGACACATTACAGGGTCTTACCGGACGGATCGGGACCGTGGAAAACACCATGACCACCCAAACCGGCCACATACAAACGCTGCAACAGGAGGTTCAGGAGTTGAAACAGCTAGCTGGGCAGAACGACCTCCGATTTGCCGCACTTGAAGACAAACGCCGCCTAAAGCACCTTAAGGTTAGGGGCATCACCGACAATATTCCGGATGCTGAACTACCCCACGTTACTAGGCGGCTCCTTACGGCTCTACTAACCCAGAGAGTTGCCAAAGCGGTGTCAATAGACGGAATTTTTCGCATTCCAAAGCCCACCAGGGCCCCAGCTACAGCTACGAGAGATGTCGTCCTGCAGTTCCAAACCTACAAGGATAGAGCCGCAGTATTAGCAGCCACCAGAGATCAACCAGCCTACCACTTTGAAGATATGGCTCTCACCTTCTACCCTGATCTCTCGGGGGCAACATTGGCCTGGAGGAGGTCCCTGCAACAACTGACTTCCCTCCTGCGAGCACAACACATCAGGTACCGCTGGGGCCCGGCTCATACTCTACTGGTCACCAAGGGCGACACCACACTCACAGTGCGCAGCATGCAGGAGGCACCGGCGACACTAAGACAGCTGAATCTCCCACCGGACTTACCGGCCCTACCGACACCAAAGGGTAGGCACGCGAACCCACCGACTTGGAACATGGCCGGCGCTGCAGAATTCATCCCTAGAAGACACACCGGTGTACCTAAAGAAGCAGCCACCACCTGACAATATTGAAATATCAGGACTATAACTTACCTTGCCGGGACTCTACCCTAACATAATGGTCTCACCTTGGACTGCTGCTCCCGGGTGAGCTAACACCCTGCTTTGCGGATGGCCTCACTCCTTAACCCACCGACACATGCACATCACCCGATAACACTAAGACCCACTATGGGTGGTCTCACTGGGAAGATGCCGAGCTCCCCTTTGCATTCCTGACGCCACACAGGCACCCCAACCTAACCTACCCGCCCAGTAACCAGGAGCTGACATTTAGCCTCTACCTGGCTCCCCTCTTGCGAGCGCTGACCTCCGCGCACATGACCATGAAGGCCCCTCTTAACTTGCCAACTAGCAGGCATTACGCGCACCCCCAAGCAATGTAATCACACGGTAGATATGCCTCAACACATAGAAATAATCTATAACAGTCCCGCCCAGAAGAACACACCACCCTACCTGCACTAATACAACCCAGCCTCCGATAACCCACCATAAACACACAGTGCATACATCTCTCACCACTACGGCTGTGTTATGTATAAAAGACAATATGCATTAATCCTAGAATGTTGTATAATTATTTTTACCTGTTCCAATGTTAGACTACACAATGTAACCTTATTAACCTCTAAGCAAACTTAATCATAACTGCATATCGTTCCAACATGTATCTAATCGCAAAAACTAAAAATTGTGCACAGTATTTCCTATGCCATGATACCAGCTGTTGTATACCGGTCTCTTACCGCTGTTGTGGCGTAACAGACCTAACTGTCATTCTATGCACGAACAAAAATAAAGAATTTAAAAAAATAAATAAAAAAAAAAACATATAACAATAAAACAACAGTACACACCCTGCACCTATAATGAGCACAGGGTGACCTAGACATAGGAGTAGACCAGGGTCCTACATAAAGTGTCCTTATGAAACCCCAGGTAATGGTGACTACCGTCACAATTACCATTACCTTTTCCAGTAGGACCATGCAGAAGTGTAAATATATTCACTATACTGTGATTTAGCGTTTAAAGTGCAAATAAAGTTACAGCTGGTATGTACATGTAACATGTCCAAAAATACATTTATACTTCCCTGGTTTCATAAATGTCCAAATATAACTGTCTATTCTCAGATATATAGCAGAATTTATGTTTTAACACTCCAACTTTGAAGGTTCCTATACATTTTCTTCGCCTTATATTTTTCCGTTGCGCACCGCAACCAGCAAGCAACATTTTACTGGATTCTTAGAACAGGGCATACATGAGGCAAACATGAACTGTAAATCAAGAGAAATCCTAAACATAGAAAGAAAATAATATACTCAGAAAAGCAGGCAGATTTTGATTTATCTGTTGCTAAGCAACCCACTTCCTGTAGAGCAAATATTTAACCCTGTGATCTCCAAAAATATAGCTTTTATCCTCTGACACAAATGAACTATTAACTATACTGAGCTTGTAATATAATCGGAAGCTTCTAAGTGTAGCATTTTCATGGCTTGTAATGTAACTTGCAACAAAAAAGGCCAGTTTTATCCCATTAAGAGGACCGTCATCTTCTATTTTATAACATCAAGTTAGTTTTACCAAGATGAGCCACAGTCTACTATCATTTAGGACATGGGCACAATTGTACTGCAAATGTTTTCTATGATATACAAAAAGTAATGGCTAATATAATGAGTAAAATGACTCATGAGGGCAAGTTTATCAAGACAAAAGCATGTGCTTTTCTGGGGCACAAGAACCAATCAACATGGAAACCAATAGAATATGTTCCAGTGTTTCACATTTTGCACCCGGAATAGCACCAGTTTTGCCTTCATAAATCGTATCTATCATATGAGAAGTACATGGTCAGCTAACAGCAGAGCCATGCTAAATCAAGTGCCAGGTCTTTCAAAAAAGAACCCCGAACCACAGCACACCAGGCTGGCCATTAAATTCTCCCAGATCCTTATTCTAAGCTAAGCTGATTGGCTGAGAGCGATCAATTGAGGCTATCAGCCAATGCGCTATCCCAGCTCTGCAGGCCTTATCTCAGTTGAACCAATGAGAGTTCCCCCAAAGGAAATTCTGGATCTCAAGCATGAATATTGAACTTGCTCAGCAGAACCCAGGTAAGAAGTCAAACCATTCAAAAATAGGACACTCCTGGAATC